CACACACACACACACACACACACACACACACACACACACACACACACACACACACACACACACACGTGAATCTATGCGATGAATTTATATTCGCAGATACATTTTGTTTTGTTCAAAAAGCACACAATTTATAGACAGTCAGTCAACATGGTGTTTTATAAATTCCTGCTTTAGAAATAAAACCAGTCTGACTCCAAACTAAAACACAAACAGACAGTAAACAAGATCTCAGACCCAACATGCATTGACTGACCTAAAATGTCACCTCTTCTTTACACTGATAAAACCTTTCGCTCTCTCAGGACAGTGACTTGAAAGGAATTTGGGGATTTACATATACATATTAATCAATTAAAACCTTCTCGCTGATAAAAGATTTAACAGCATTTTAGATTTGTTTAGTACATCCTCATCAATGGTATGAACCTTTGATCTTTTACTTAAATATTCTGTGTCTGATACTTCCTCTCTCACTAACACCTGAAGAAGGTCTGAGGCTCTGAAAGCTTGTGTGTTTTCAAATAAACCTGTTGGACTATAACCTGGTGTCGTGTGATATATGGACCTTAGTAGAGCCTTTGAAAACGTTCCACCCTGTAGACTGTTTGATAACATTAGATGACACGTGATTCAGGGAGATCTTGCCAATTGAATACAAAGTTGGCTTGATGGTTGGAGACAGAGGGTGCTGTTTTTTGGATTGGAGACCTGTGACCAGCAGTGTTCCACAGGGATCGGTGCTGGGTCCAGTGCTGTTCATCATTTATATAACCAATGAATAAGAATTTAGGAGGCATGATTAGTAAGTTTGCCGATGACACCAAAATTGGTGGTACAGTTGACAGTGAAGAAGGTCCTCTAGGATTACCAAGGGATCTTGATGCATTGAACTAACACCGGGGAGATGACAGTCTAGCGGTATTCCCACTGGACTGTTAATCCAGAAACCCAGGTAATGTTCTGGGTACTCAGATTTGTATCCCACCATGGCAGATGGTGGAATTTGAATTAAATTTTTAAAAATTCGGAAAGTAAGAGTGTTGCCATGCTACTGGAAAGACCTGAAGGTTTTGAAGAGGGTACAGAAAAGGTTTACAAGGATGTCACCTGGTTTAGCGGGGTTATTCACTATGAAGAGAGGTTGGGAAAAAAACTTGGTTTGTTTCCATTCGAATATCAGAGGCTGAGGGGCAACTTGAAAACAGCTTTACAAAATTACGAGCGGCATGGATAAAATGGATAATCTTTTTCCCAGGGTAGAAATGTCAATTACAAGGGGACATGTGTTTAATGTAAAGGGGGTATGTTAAAAGAAGATATGAGAGGCAAGTTTTCTAAACAGAGGGTTGCAAGTGCCTGGAATGTGCTGCCAGGGGAGGTGGTAGAAGCAGATACAATAGCAATGTTTAACAGGCATCATGTCAGATACGTGAATACGCAGGGAACAGAAGGATGTGGACCATATAGAAGCAAAAGGTTGTTAGATAAGGAAGATGCCACAGTCGGCGCAGGCTTTGTGGGCCAAAGGGCCTACTCCTGTGCTGTACTGTTCCCTCTTCTCAACCTTGCCCCTCACCTGAGGCACAATGACCTTCAGGTTAAATTGACCACTATTCATCTCTAACAACAGAGCAGCCATGTAGTCCTTTGGGACTATGGCAATTTTACCTATACTTGTTAGATTAATCTGAATGTTTATTTTCTTCCTTTTTTTTGTAATCTTTTGTTGGTTTCTAAAGTTTCCTCAAACTTCTCGCTTACCAACAATCTTTGTCACTTCCTAAGTCTTTTCTTTCAACTTGACACGATCCTTAATTTCCCTGGTTAAATGTGGTTGATTTATCCTTGTGTGTGACTCCTTCTTCTTCTTGTTCTAAATTATGAATTATTTTCTTCAACATCTACCATTGTTCATCAAAGATGTTTTCTGCTTATTTAAGTTTAGCATGGTTGTTTCAGACCCAAGGTTCACACTCTCAAACTGAATGTTAAGTTCTACCATGTTATGGTCACTGCTTCCCAGAGGATCACTTATTAAACATGTCTCATTAAACATTACCAGATCCCTGATTGAATCCACAACATGTGATTCTAAGAAAATGTTCTGAATATACTATGAATTCTTTCTCATAGTTACCTCTGCCAATCTGACTATATGAAGATTAAAGTCACCCATGATTAATCCCCTGCCTTTTTTGCCTTTCTACCATTTTCCCCCCTTTGCTCCTATTTACTGCATTTTTTTCTGTTTATACACTCCATCCCTTCTTGTGCCACTCTGAGTATCGTTCCTTAAATAGTTAATTATCCTGGCCTCAATCCCATCCTTTCCTAGTGTCTAACCCTGGCCCCAATTTGATCATTTCCCAGTGCACCTGGCACTGTACCTTACCCATATACTCGAAGACCAAGTAGATGTCTTTGTCATTTGCTGCTCGAATCACATTGAGCAGTTTGATAATATTAGGATGGTTTCCAAATTCCTAGCAGATATAAAAAGAGTTTAGTGCAAATGGCTGACAGCAACTCAGTGAGGACAGTACAACACATGAGCAACAGTTGGTATGGCCAGCTTTTACAGATTCCTATCCAATGTGTGGGAGAAGAGCCTCTGTCCCCAGGGACCAGCATAAATCCACAAGGAAATCAGGAATAAACAGAGAACCAGCTGAAGGTGATACCAAGTGTTAGAACAGGATAATAGTCCAAAAGACATTACAGCTAACCTCCTGGCGATACCAGAGAGAGATGGCAAAAGGGGAGGAGAGTCATTGAGAATCAGTGGAAGGGGGAGTGTTGGGAGAACTGGGGTAACAATAAGGAAGTGAGGTGATAGTGGGAGGGGGTGTATGGGGTTACAGTGAAGTGAGGGAGGCCTTCTTTGACCCTGACATTTCCTGAGGATTATCCCTGTCTTCCCCCCTCCTCCCTGGTCTCTGCTGCCAGTCGACCCCCACCCCACCCCCAGACATTCCCTTCACGCATTCAAAAGGACAATAAAGGCAGCGACAACAACAGTATAGTCAGTTCTGATACACCGCGATAGTTATGTTCTCGTGCGATCGTGTGTTGTAAGAAAATCGCACAATAGCTGCGCCATTTAAACTAATGGGGCCGGAAGCGCGTTATAGCCAATACGGGTAAGGAAAGTTTGCGTTCTACAAGTAGTGGTCCAAATTCTTCAATCACATTAAATCCAATTCGCGTTGAAGAAACAGGCATTATATCAGAACCAACAGTAATTACACTGAACTCACCTGAAGGAATAATATTTCTCGAAATGTCCTCTGAAAAATAAGAGAAATAAGAATGAGAACTTGGTTCAAGTTTCAATACTAACAGATACCTAGGAAGGAAAAGCACAAACAATACTGGGAACACACTGTGCAATGTAACCATCACCCTGAGCCCATGCTCCCCTGAAATACCTGTGCATCTGTTTGATTTCTGAACGCATCGAATATTTTCTTGACTGCCACCACCTCTCCGGTCTGCCGATCAATCGCTTTCCACACTATTCCATAAGCCTGGAAAGGTTCGAAGATGTGTCAGGCAGGATTTAGACAACTTGACAATTGCTTTCTTCATTCTCACTGATACTTTTCCCACCACTCCCTCATCATCTCCTTCTCATCACATGAGGCAGAGCCTGGACAAAGCTGTTATTGGGTAAAACTACAGACTACCATTTTAGTGACAGTGACCAGAACACTGTATGTTTTACATTAGTTATGATATGGAGGTATCAATGTTAGACTGGGGTGGACAAAGTCAGAAGGGATATGACACCAGGTTATAGTCCAACAGGTTTATTTGAAATCACAAGCTTTTGAAGCACAGCCCCTTTGTCAGGTGAAGTGAGAGAGAAGCACACAGACATAGAATTTATAGGCAGGGAGATCAAAGGCAGAGAGATCAAAAGACCATACAAATGGTGTGAGTGGAGTGTCGAATAATAAGTCCCTGCAGGTGATCCGAAATGTCAGATGGTGTAAGTAAAGTGTCAACAGCTGAATAACAAGTGAATCATAGAATCACTACAGTGTGGAAACAGGCCCTTCGGCCCAACAAGTCCACACTGACTCTCACAGCATCCCACCTAGACCCATCCCCTATAACCCACCTAATCTACACATCCCTGAATACTATGGGCAATTTAGCATGGCCAATCCACCTAGCCTGAACATCTTTAGACTGTGGGAGGAAACCGGAGCACCCGGAGAAAACCCACGCAGACATGGGGAGAATGTGCAAACGCCACGCAGACAGTTGCCCAAGGCTGGAATCGAACCCGGTTCCCTGGCGCTGTGAGGCAGCAGTGCTAACCACTGAGCCACTAAGCTGCCCGGGACGACCTATAATCTGATTAAATGAGGCAGGGAGATAATTACAAAAAATTAAAAGTAAGGTGGTGCTGGAGACAAAGCAAATGCCTGGAATAACATGATGGGTATAAGAATCACATGCCGAGAGTCTAACCAAAGTCATAAGTAATCCAAAACTGTACAAACTAATTAAGATAGAGCAATCATAACAATTTATCTAGGTGATGGTGTCAAAACAGGATAGTAAGGATGAATTTACAGATACTGAACAGTGTGATAGGGTCATATGTAGCACAAGATGAACCCAAGATCACTGTTGAAGCCACCTTCATGTGTGCGGAACCTGGCTATCAGTTTCTGCTTGGCGTTTCTGTGTTGTTGTGTATCTCAAAGACTGCCTTGGAGGACACTTACCCGAAGATCGGAGGTGAATATCCTTGACCACTGAAGTGTTCCCCGACTGGGAGGGAACATTCCTGTCTGGTGATTGTTGCGCGGTGTCCATTCACCCTTTATCGTAGCATCTGCATGGTCTCACCAGTATACCATACCTCAGGGCATCCTTGCCCTCAGCAATGAGATAGACAACGTTGGCCGAGTCACATGAGTATCTGCCGTGTACGTAGTGGGTGATGTTCCCATGTGCGATGGTAGTGTCCATGTCGATAATCTGACATGTCTTACAGAGGTTGCTGTGGCAGGGTTATATGGTGGTGTGGTGAATGTTGTCCTGAAGGCTGGGTAGTTTGCTGCCAATTATGGTCTGTTTAGGGTTTGGCGGTTGTTTGAAGGTGAGAAGTGGAGACGTGGGGGTGATCTTAGTGAGATGCTTGTCATCACTGATGACATGTTGAAGGTAGCCTCTCCGCTCTGGACGATGAAGGGTAATCTATCGGTCATGTCCTGTGTCTGTCTTCTGAGGAGGTTGTTATGGTTTTTCGCTCTGGCGTGTCAGAACTGACAATCGATGGGTGGAGCATCGTATCCCATTCTTAGGAGGGCGTCCTTCAAATTCTTTAGGTGTCCGTTGCGTTCCTCCACATCTGAATAGATCCTGTCTATGTGTAGGGCTTGTCCGTAAGGGATGGCTTCTCCAATATGTTTAGGGTGGAAGCTAGAGAAGTGCAGCATCGTGAGGTTATCCCAGGACTCACGGAAGAGAGAGGTATTGAAGTGTCCGTCCTTGATTGAGATGCGTCATCCAAGAAAGAGACTGATTCTGAACAGTAGTCCATGGTAAATCTGATGGTGGGATAAAACTTGTTGATATCATTAGGTAGTTGTTTCAGGGATTCCTCGCCATGCTAGGAGTCGAAAAGAAGAAAATGTCATCTGTTCTGAGGAAAGGTCACTGGACCCAAAACGCTAACTCTGCATTTTTTTTTCACAGATGCTATCAGAACTGATGACCTTTTCCAGCAACTTCTGTTTTTATTCCTGATTTACAGCATCCGCAGTTCTTTTGGTTTTTAGAAAATGTCAATGTATCTGGTGTATAGCATTGGTCGGAGGTCCTGCACAGCGAAGAAGGCTTGCTCGAACTTGTACATGAAAATGTTGACATACTGGGGTGCTAATTCAGTCCCCACGGCTGTTCTGTGTGTCTAGATAAAGAATTGGTTGGCAAAGGTGAAGACGTCATGGTCGAGGATGAAGTGGATGAGTTGTAGGATGGTGTCTGGAAATTGGCAGTTGTTGGTATTTAGTACTGAAGCTGTTGCAGTAATGCTGTCATCATGGGGGATGCTGGTGTAGAGTGCCAAAACATCCATTGCGACAAGGAATATTCCTGGTTCAAGTGGTCCGTGGGTGCTGAGTTTCTGTAGGAAGTCTGGAGTGTTGCGACAGAAGCTGGGGGTTCCTTGTACAATGGCTTTTAAGATGCCCTCAACATAGCCAGAGAGGTTCTCACATAGGGTCCCATTGCTTGATACGATGGGACGTCCAGGTGCGTTAGCTTTTGGAAGGCAGTAGAAGTCTCCTGTATGAGAAGTACAGGGGATGAGAGTGCACAGGATATTCTGAAGGTTTGGATCAAAGCTCTTGACCAGTCTGTCCAGTTGATGGGTGTGTTCTTTGGTCGGATCGGCAGGTAGTTGTCTGTAGTGTTCCTGGTTGTTCAGTTGTCGGTACACTTCCTTGCAGTAGTCCATTCTATTCTGTATGACAATGGCTCCTCCTTTGTTTGCTGGTTTGAGGACAATGTTGCGATTGGTCTTGAGAACACAGATGGCGTTGTGTTGTGTTTGGGTGACGTTCTACACTACCTTGTGAGTGTGGCTGATGAATCTGGCGTTGACTCATCTCATGACTACTTGAGCATACATGTCGAGCCTAGGGCAGCAGCCTTTCGGAGGGGGTCCAATTTGACTCTTTCTTCTTTGGTCGATGTACAGGGATCTCTCTGTTGCCTGTTCCAGTTCATTGGTTGTCTCATTGTGCTCGCTGCTAACATCTTTTGTGGAAGAATTCCTGGAGTCTCATTCACCTGAATTCCTCTCTGTCTGCTACCAGACCAATAGGGTCCGTTTTGGCAGTGGGGCGGAAATTGAGCCCTCGGCTGAGAACTGCGATCTGGTCTGGTTGAAGGTGTGATCACACAAGTTGTTGTTGGATTTCAGTTTGAACCGTGGTACGAGGGGAGGCTTGGCTACTGCTGGTGGGGATGCCAATTTTCTCCAGCTTCTTGTTCTTGGTATGCATGTAAGTGGCATAGTTCCATTGCCTCATCTGCTTGGCAGTGTCTCGTAGCTGGTTCGCTGTATCCCGAGCGCAACCTGAGAATATGGCCTCTGTATCGATTTCAAGGTTGCGGCATCTGCTGTAGAGTTGGTGTACCACGCAACAATCACCAGATAGGAATGTTCCCTTCCGGTCGGGGAACACATCAGTGGTCAAGAACATTCAGCCTCCAATCTTCGAGTAAGTGACCTCCAAGGCGGCCTTCGAGACACACAACAATGCAGAGTTGCCGAGCAGAAACTGATAACCAAGTTCTGTACCCATGAAGACGGCCTCAACCATGATCTTGGGTTCAAGTCACGCTACGTGTAACCCGACCATACTGTTCTGTATCTGTAAAATCTTCCTTACTGTCCTGTTTTGACACCATCACCTGGATAAATTGCTATGATCGCTCTACTTTAATTAGTTTGTACAGTTTTGAATTACTTATGCCACTCATGCCATGTGTTCCCATTAAGGGCATTTAAATGGTCATTGGATAAACATATGGATGATAATGGAATAGCGTAGGTTAGATGGTCTTCAGATTGGTTTCACAGGTCGGTGCAACATCGAGGGCCGAAGGGCCTGTACTGCGCTGTAAGGTTCTATGTTCTATGTATGATTTTTTGATCTCTCTGCCCTTGATCTCTCTGCCTATAAACTCTGTGTCTGTGTGCTTCTCTATCACTTCACCTGACGAAGGGGCTACTCTCCGAAAGCTTGTGACTTCAAATAAACCTGTTAGATTATAACCTGGTGTTGTGTGACTTCTGAGTTTTTATATTAGTTATGGAAAAGGAGCAAGATGGTCTGCAAAAAAACAAGGGTTTTGGATTGGGGGAAGGCAGATTTTATTAAAATAAGGCAGGATCTGGAAAACATAAATTGGGAACGGCTAATTGAGAGTAAAGCTACAGCAGAATGATTTGATGTTCAAAAAGGTACTGGGGAGAGTCCAGATCCAACATGTTTCCTTTAGCAGGAAATGTAGGTGCGACAAGCCCAGAGAATGCTGGATGCCTAGGAAAATTCATGACTGAATGAAAAGGAAAAGAGAGACATATTACAGGGGTAAAGGGAACAAAACAACAGAAGCCCTCAGGGAGTATAGACAGTGAAGGGGGAACTCAAGAAAGCAAATAGAAGCGCAAAGAGGACATGAGAAAGCACAGAGGGACAAGATTAGGGAAAATCCCAAGATGTTCCCAACAAGCCTATCAACAGGAAGAGAATAACCAAGGAAAGGGTGGTGACCACACTGGACCCAAAACGTTAACTCTGATTTTCTCTTCACAGATGCTGCCAGACCTGCTGAGCTTTTCCAGCAACTTCTGTTTCTGTTCCTGATTTACAGCATCCACAGTTCTTTTAGTTTTTAAAGAGTAGGGCCTATCAGAGGCAAAGGGGGAAATCTGTGCGTGAAGCCAGAGGAAATTGGTAGACTGTTAAATGAGTGCTTCACATCTGTCTTTCCT